AACATGGAGAGTCTACGGCTCAATGAAACACAAGGCCTTGGGCTTCCGGAAAGATAAGTCCTAGATTATGAGGGCTGAGGTGGTGTCAAGGTCAGGGTCAGTATCAAGGTCAGGATTAGACTTTCAGCCTAAAAGAACTGACATTCACATTATGTCTTTCCATTCCTGCTGACCCACATCCCTACCTGTGTATCCTGCAGTTTAATGGACTATGTCTCCACTCTTACTTGTATCAAGTTGAGTGGCAGCGACAAACTGGCCTTTTCAGACCCATGGCTTGGTGAAGAGAGCTATAACACATGCCTCGACTGAGGAAAAGGGTACTAAAAACCAGCCTTAAGAGTCTCAAACCGGGGTCAAACTTGCTCTGAAAGTTTTCTAGTAGGTTCTGGGAAATTGTCTTCCTGCTTTTATAGGCACTGGCACTGGGCCAGAGAGATTATGAAACCCCTGGGGGGAAAGGGACAGGGACCATTTCTTATTCAGCTTGGCTTCCCCTAGAGGACTTGGTAAAACGCCTGGCAGATGCTCAGGAAATTTGCACCGAATAAAACCGTATCTGTTACCCCAAAGACCAAACAGTAATTAATGTCTGCAAATGGGGAGGACAAGCCTACATTTCACTAGGTACAATCTGAATGACAATTATGTTGTTAGAGCGATAGAGGACCCTCTCCCTTCAAATCAAGTGCTGAACTACTCCACAGTCTGAGTCTTTTATGCGACATAGAAGCAGTATGACATTCAAACACATCACCATTCACCAAGATTCTCACAAACAGGCCTAATGAAGGCAGGGACGGTGAGTTAGAGCACAGATGCTTAGATTTCATGAAGAACAGCATAAATAAGGCTCTAATCATGGCTTCACTCAACTTCCTTCCCTGCTGCAAATTCTGAGCCATGTTTAGACTTTGGCAGTAACATGAATTCTTTCTTCTCATAAGGAAAAAAAAAAGCCAATTCTCTAGCATTCATCATCATCTAACGTAGTTCAGTGGAAGTCAGCGATGGCATGGGGGAGGTACTCTGAACTTGGAGTTGAAAGGGGTTTAGGCCAGTCCCACTATACCCAAGGTGTGTGGCCAACAGGATGACAATACCTGCCTTACCTATAGCCATGAGTAGCGCTCTTAGAACAGTGCCTGAGACAAGGGCAAGAATGCATGTAATTTATTTGGAAGATGATCCTAGTACACATTGCTAAGGGTTCAGGGAGGCAAGACCGGGAAGGGAAGGGAGCCAGTACAACGTGCATTATGAGCAAGTTTCTGGGAAGGCAACTGAGGCACAATTCCATTGGGATTGTCCTCAGCTGACATCTGGGGACAGACAAAAACATACCTTGAAGTTCTTGGGAGTTTCCACCCAACGGGAAAGGACACTGGGAAATTTGTCCTCCATTTCTCATCCATCCCTGGCTCAGGGCTGCCCCTGGAAGCATTAATTCCCTGGACATCTGATCTGTTCCTCTTAATAAGATACTTATTCTGGAACCGTGGATGCTCAGAATTATGGGTGGAATCTATCACATCTAGCCTCGAGGATTGTCCTGATGGGAGGTAAGAGCTCTGGGAACCCTTGGAAATGTAGTAAATGGAGGGAAACTGGGGATTAGGAAGATCATTCTTAAGGCTCTGAAACCCCCTCTGGATTCAAAATGCCTCAGTCTCAAGAGGGACCATGGAGTTAGCCCTGGCACATTAGTTTAGAATAGTTCTATTTATTCACCACTCCTAAATTTGCAAAAAAGGCCCTCCCATCTGGAACAACAATGGCTGCCATCATAAATTTGCTTTGGCTCACATCTTTGTTGTCAAGGCTAACTGCTGTTTCCCAGACTTTCTGCCTTGACTTAAGTCATGGGAAACCATGAGTAAATGAAGATGTTCCTAAATTTCCACAAGCTGTCTCACTAATTTAGTAAGCATTTACCAAGAGCCAGCCAGGAGTCAGGCAGCATGCTAGTAATGTGACTAGGTTCCCACAACTAGAGTTTATAAAGCAAAATCCCATTTGACCCTTAACCCAGCCCCAGGGGGCAGGCAGGGCCGGCATTAATGCCATCCCATTGCCTAGAGGAGAAGACTGAGGTTTAGGGAAATGAAGTGTCTTGCCAGAAGCAGATCTTGCAAAAGTAGCCTCCTCTGCTGGGGCTGGCTGCTTGTGAGTCAGCTCTGTCGTGAGCCCTGCTGTCCAATCTCCCTTCTAAATAAGAGGGCAAGGCAAGGGGGAGAGAGGGTGTGAAGGGCATGGCAGAAAATAACATGGTAACTCCACGCAGAAGCCATTTACAAGGTCAATGGCATGAGGTAATTTAGGAACTGGTAACCCCTGGGGGCAGGCATATCCTCTGGGCAAATTCCTGGAAGGTCCCAGAAGAGTCTGGACCAGCCTTTCTGGGAGAGGAAGCATGAGCCCAGAGAAGAGAAGGAATGAATTCGCCATCTCACAGTGAGTCAGGGCCTCAGTTTCCTTCCCCTCTGTGAAATGAGATGATAACCTGAATTCCAACCTGGACAGACTATTCAATATTCAATTCTCTTCATCCTGGCAGAAAAGGCACCTCTGAGACCCTATGAATTTGGGTAACTCACTATTGTGCTGATGTGAACATGCCCCCAAGCACAGCATCTCTGTCAACAGGATCAATGTCTATTTTAAAAACATGCAAACAGGAGTATCTTCCAGCTCTAATAGTCAATAAAAGCTGAACACAAGTGTGGCAAAGGCAGAACACTGGCATACGTGTGCATGTGAGCACGCAGTGGCTGCCACTGCCACTCATCAGCTGTGTGTCCCTGGGGGAAACATCTCTCTTCCCCATGCCTCAGTTTCCCCATTTACTCTGTGAAGTAAGGAGATAAGATCATCTCTAAGGCCCTGCCCCTTCTGACATCCTACATATTGTTATGTGTGGGTAGCAGCTATAGGGGTAGGCAGACAAAAAGGCATCAATGGGGTTTCAACACACCATGGAAATCTGGATTTGCCCCTGAAAAGTGTCATAACTTTTGACAAAGTGCTAGTCATAATTGCTACTACTTGCTGAGCAAGAGATATATGCACATCTTTCTCTGTATGATCTCATCCAGTTCATCCCACATCCTGAGATGATAAGTAGGATTATATTCTTTTTTTTTAAAGTTTTTAAAAAAATATATTTTATTGATTTTTCACAGAGAGGAAGGGAGAGGGATAGAGAGTTGGAAACATCGATGGGAGAGAAACATCGATCAGCTGCCTCCTGCACACCTCCCACTGGGGATGTGCCTGCAACCAAGGTACATGCCCTTAGCCAGAATTGAACCTGGGACCTTTCAGTCCGCAGGCTGACGCTCTACCCACTGAGCCAAACTGGCTAGGGCAGGATTATATTATTTGAGGACATCAGTGCTCAGGGAGGTGAAGTCACTTGCCTGATGTTCTACAGCAACTTGCACTCAGGTGAGTAAAACCCACCTCAATACTGTTTGCTACACTGCTTTCCTTATAAATGCCTAAAATCAGCCACTGGAGTTGGTGTCTAATCCTAACATCGGGGAAAGGCAATAAAATTGGCACGCACTTGTAGCTGTGATTGGCCGATCAATATTTTACAAAATATTCTCCTAGAATGATATAATTTGAGAACTGGAAATGTGACAAGAGAATTTAGCTGCAATCACTCAAGAAAAAAAAAAGTAAGTATCTTTGCCAAGATGCTTACTTTGTTCAACCGATGAAGAAGTAAGACTTAACAAATGGGAAAGTAATTACGTTTGCCTAAAATTACATCTTTTGTGCACGTCAGAGAGCTGACATGTGTTTCAATTACCTGCCACAGGAAGACAAATGGGTAAATCTACAAGATTGCATTATGGAGCGATAGTATCCAAGGACACCTCTCCTGATTGATCTGAATCCAGTGGGGATTTGTCTGAATGAATCTGAGTAACTTGATTTCATTTCTTGCTTTCCCCTGGATGACTTTGGGATCTCAAAGTGAGTTGACACAGAAGGCACAGCTTCCAGAAACATCCAGATGCAGATGAATGATCCTCTAGTGCTTTTGGCGAATAACCCTGCTAATGACTATTCTGAGCTGAACTGAGGTGTCTGCCTTGAGGAAGGCCCAGTCCTACTCCTCACGGATGCCCTGTGCGCTTTGACAAGCCACTGCCCCTCTGGTCCCTATTTCCTCCTTATCACACGAGAAACTTAGTCTGGATGATTTCTGAGGTCCCTTCCAACTCTGACAGCAGAAAAGTTCAACAAATGACCTGGGTCTTAAAAAAAAATGTAGTGATTATAGATTAAAAGAAACTAGGGAGACACATTAACCAAATACAAAGAGTGGATGTTGTATGAATTCTCTAACAAACCAATTGTAGAAACATTTTTGAGCTAATTGGAGAATTAACATAGACTGGGAATGAAAGGATATTAACAATTGTTAAATGCTTTAGGTGTGATAATAGTACCATGGTTATGTTTTTAAAAGTCCTTGTCTAGTAGAAATGCATACTGCAGTATTTATAGATTGAAATGAGATAATGTCTGAGAGCTGCTTTAAAACGTTTACAGAAAAAAACAGAGGGGTAACAGGGTGAGTCAAGATAAAGCAAGACTGGCAAAATGTTGATAATGGTTGAAGCTGGGTGATGGGTTTACTATGCTATTCTCTCAACTTCAGAATCTGAAGATTTCTATAATCAAAATCTACAACAATGCAAGTTTTCTCAGGATATTGGAACTGACTTACCCCTCCCCCCTTACTTTCAGGAGTTTCTCAGAGTCATGTGGGAAGACTGAATGGGCCTGAAAAGTAATACAGTGAAGAAAAAATATCCTAAATATGTTGAAACTACTGTTTTCACAGAGAAGTGTTTTCTATTGACTTTGATTTCTCTTATCTGGAACATCATACTTTCATTTGTTTTGATGTATTTTATTGCATAAGACAACATCCCTGAAAACAGAATTTACCAAGTAGAAAGAAGAAGCATCAAAAAGCCTACCTTGAAATTGAGTAAATTTAATGGTCCCCATTCTTTCCCCGTTCCGGAACACAACTTGACCCTAAAAACAAAGCAAAACAAACAAACAAGAACAAAAGAGAAATGCCATATTAGCTCAGACGCTACTGATCTCAACTGAAATTCATTAACTGTACAATGCAATTATTAATATTAGAGGAAAAACAGATTCCTGTTAGACTACAGATGCAAAATTAAACTAATTGTTTTTAAACTGGTTGTGACTTTATCTATTTAATTTAAGGAGCACAAAATCAATAATGGAACTAACACATGTGAATTAAAGCCGAGATATGCATCATCATTATCAGCACAGCTATTTATTAAACATCCACATGCCCTGTGTAGTCCTGGGACAAGGTCTTCCAGGACGCTGGAAGGACAGAGGCACCGGCGAGGCCCATGGAGCCTGGCCCTGACTGCTTCTGTGCCCCATTAAGATGTGTGGCTTTGCCGAGGCTATTTGGCTTGAGGACCAGACAGGGGCTGTAGGTCAGTTAGCATTTCTTATTAAGGACAGAGGATGTTTTTATAAGTTCTTCCTGATTTCTTCCTGAGTGGGGCAGCACAAAATTAAGCTTCTTGTGTAGCGACATGACTAGTGTCACAGGCAGCTGAGCACCCCTCATTAGGGAACCCTGGGGGCTAAAGACAGTGAGTGGCTTTGTTGGCTGATACAAGGGTTCCACATGCTGGGCTAAACAAACTGGGAACATGAAGAAGGACTGGTCTCTCCTTGCCAATTTATGGTCCACCTAAAATTCTGCAACCAGGCAAGGAAATTGTCACACATTATATCAATGGATCTTGTGACAAGCTTGAGTGAAAAAGGGGATAATCCTGATTTAACAAATTAAGAAACTGACCGAGGAAGGTAATGCCCTTTATGTAAGGTCACTGTAAGCTGCTGGAGTTCAAATTCGAGTTTGATTTTAATGTCCATGCTATTTCACTATAGCATGCTGTTTCTGATCCAGAAATAAATTCTTTCCTATCTCTCCATTAATGAGATATCAGGAAAAGAAATGGTCTTAAATGTGTACTGCTTTACTCTCACAGTTGTGCTCTTACATCATCAGGAAATAGCACAGAAAAGTTCAGATCCTGCTCAATTCTCAGGAGAAAGTGCCAGAAAATATCTTCCCTTGGTGGAAACTCAAAGTCTGAGGCCCTGAGGCTCTTGGCACAAAGAGAGAATCACTCAACCTGTTCTCAGAACAAGAAACACCTTCTGAAGCCACTTTGCCACCTTTTGGAAATCCTGAAGACAGCTGTGAGGACTATCAGTTTGAGACGAATGCCCACCGAATTCTATATTTAGGTGCCGGTAAGCAATTCCCTGGTGTGTGAAACACTTCAGTGTAAGGTGAGACAGGAGCTGTGATTTTATTTCTAGGGATGATTGAAAAATACAGAACATCTTTCAAAAGGATCACTTTTATGCGAATGGACCACTTTGCATGGGTGGCAAAGATGCAGACATGGTCCCCAAGGAAGACATTTGTCTGACGAAGGTGGAGATCCAACTACTTCACCCATCTCCTGCCAAGCTTTGAAGAATTCCAGACTTCTAGATATAAAATGTGGACAAAGCCTGCAGAATCCTTATTAGTTAAACGAAAAAGCATACAGAGTGGTATTCAAAGCTTGGACAGGATGGATGGAGTATGGGTGGGGATAAGAAAGAATCTCCTTTTACTTTTTTGTCGTCCCCCCCCCCCATTTACTTTCTAAACAGACCTAATTAGTCAACTTTTAAAGTAAGACCTGTCATACTTTATTTTACTCACAATAATCATTTTCACTAACAGCAGTTCCTCCCAGCTCCTTAATTTCTCAGGTGATGCAGTGGAAAGAAGCCAGCATCTGAGTTATGGACATAGCATGGCACCTCGCCTACAACAGGCACTCAGTAAATGGCGGTATTGATTTTTATTTTAAAACTAGAGGCCTGGTGCACGAAATTCGTGCATGGGTAGGGTCCCTAGTCCTGGCCGGTGATTGGGGCTGATTGGGGCCTTCCTTCCCCCAGCTGCTGGCTGCCAGCTGGGGCCTTCCTTTGTTCCGCACCACCCCCTGGTGGTCAGCGCAGGTCATAGTGAGTGGTCAAACTCCCGTCAGTCGAACTCCCGAGGGTACAATTTGCATATTAGCCTTTTATTAGATAGGATGTTTAATAGAAGAGAGCTGCAATAAGAAAAGATGGTTTAAGCACCAGGGAACTTTCCAATGCTTGGGAAGATATTTTCCACATTGCGTGATTTCAGCTGGTAAAGGGTAAACTATTGGGCCTTTATCCGAGGTGTCCTCCTCTCAGAAACAATAGCCCCCAGTAGACTGAGCTCTTGCACCACACTATTCGGACTAGCATGGGAGAGATCTGAGAACTCTGACGGTGGTAACTGGGTCGTGATGGGCACACAGGTGGGTAACTGGCTTTACTGAGGGTCTGCACCAGAGAAGGAGACAAGAAGCTCTGCAAAGCCCCTTCTGGGGAAGATGTGTCATGTGATTCTTTCCTGAAGGAGTTACCATGGCACCTGCTGGGTTTGACCACTGAAGCCCTGCTACCCTGGCCATGGCTGACAGGACAGGGACCATCGTCCCAGCCAATTCAACCTCTTTAAGACTGGACGTGAGGAAGTTAATCAGGTGATTTTCATAAAATTCTGCCCAATAGGGGTCCTCCATATTTGAAGGTGGTCAATTCACACAATGTTGTATAAATATAGGGTGTCCCAAAAATGTAGACACACACTTTGAATAATTATAAAGACAGAGTTTATTAAAATACATTTCACTTTCCAAAACTGAGCTATCAGCTGTTAAAGTGCATATACATTTTTTTTGGGGACACTCTGTATTTACCTACCCTGGGCCAGGTACTCTTGTAAGTGCTAATCCTTCTTTTTTGAGAGCTTTATATTTGATTAGGAAGAAAAGACAAAACAAGTCTGCCAATAAATGAATAAGAATATTTCAGTTAGTGAAGAGTACTGTGAGAAAATAAGAAGGGAGTGGCTGGGCGAGGGGAGCAAATCTATTGTGCTGTCAGGAAAGCCCTCACTGCAGAGGTGACAGAAGAGCTGAGGCCTGCATGGTAAGAAGGAGATACTCCACACAAAGGAAGAAGCCATGCAGGGCAAGGCCCTCAGGTGGCAAAGGAACAGAAAGGGCCAGTGTGAGGAGCAGTGGGGAGGTAAGCAGGCCAGATCACATTCCACCTGGAGGTCATGGCAGGGCTCTGGAGTGCAGCCAAGAGACTAGGGGCGGGAGGTTAAGCAAGTAAGTACTATGACCTGAGTTAATATTTGGGAAGACTGTTCTGGCTGTCAGGTAGAGAATGGATGGCAGCATGGCAAAACGAGGGAGCAGAGAAACTGGAGGCTCTATAGCTGGTAATCCAGATGTGAGGTGACAGTGGCTTAGGCTAGGGTGGTGGCCAGCTCAGAGTGCATCGCCAAGGTGGCTGAGCACTGTGGCCTGAGCAGCAGTGGACTTCCACTCTATGCCTCCCATACTGCGCGGTGGATGCCCTGGTGTGCTGTCCTGATGCCCCCATCAGGACGGAGGCACATCCTGGCTGCTGCTGAGTTGCCCGGCATCCAAAGGGAGCTGTGTCAATTAAGGTTATGCCCCTTCCTGGGGGCCAGCCTACATCCAATGGTCAATGTGAGGGACATAATTCTAGGCCCTGTACCTCAATTCAGGACAACGGTGAAGGACCATGGGATCCAGAGGTCCCCGTGGGGTGGCTGAGGCTGGGATTGCAGCTGTATCACATTTCAACGTGTCCCTCTGCCTGACCCTGCTTCACTTCCTCCCTTCCAGGTGTTGTTCCTGAGAACACTCCTTGATAATAAACTTGCTGTATGCTAGTCTTTGTCTCAGAATCTGTTTCCTGAGAAACCCAACCCTAACACACTTGCCACCAAAGGTCACTGGGACTATATCTTTCCTGCAGCCTGAAGGAGCCTGAGTGACGAGGCTGTGGGGACAGAGGCAATGGTCTGAGTGAGGCCCACGCAGCAGCTGGACTGCTCCAGCTTCACGTGCTGGGCAGCTCAGCCAGGCCAGCTGCACTGGCTTTGGTTTCTTAAGCCCCAGCTCGAGCAGGGATTTTTTCTCTCTCCTCACTCATGTATCCTTTATGTATATATAGATGCCGTGACTCTCCTTAAGCTTCTGCCGTGTGCGATCCCAGGGCTATACTGAGGATCAATCCATGTGATGCATTAAATTCCAAAGTAATGGAGTCTGGTAACTCTGGCTGGGGTGGTGGCTGATATTTGTTGGCTCACAATCCATACTCACTCTGTATCCTCCTCTCTGTTGCAGGGGCCCAACACCCAGAAACCACATTTCCCAGAATCCCCTACCAGCTGGTTTCTACTTAGGTTCTGCTAATGAGAAGCATTCACGGGAAATTAGAAAGTATGCATAAGGGAAATCTATTTTTTTCCCCTGCTGTGGTTGCAGCAGCAAAAGCAGAGCGACTGCAGGTGTCTGTGGGCCCAGGCAGCCCTGCACTGTCAATGTGGGGGTGCTCCTGGCTGCCTGTTCAGTGGCCAGTGGCGGTGGGGGAGGGGGGTTCCCAGAACAGCAGGAGGGTGGTTGCATTAACCTGAGAGATCGGTGTGCAGAGGCAATGGCAACACTATGCCCCTTTTTGTGCCTTCAGCCCAGGGACTTGGCTGTTTCTGTGAATACGTATCTCCAGTGACAGCACCGACCTGTTTTGCTCCTCCATCCCTTCCAACAAAGTTGCAACCAGTTTCCTGTCTTAAATCTCCCTATGAAATGCCTGACTTGGTTTTTATTTTCTTGTCTGCATATTGATTGCTCATGGATTCTAACTTCCGAGGAGCTTATAAGAATGACCATGGAGCTCATCTGGAATGAAAATAAAATAATGGAGGTAAAATCCCAGGTGGAAAATTTATAAGGATTTTTGTTCTCCTGAAAAAGATATTGCTAATACCAGGGAAAGCAGTCTGATTCAAACTAACAGCTCGGGTTGAAGCGGGAGCCGTAAAGCTGCAT